ATTTGCTTAGTTTGCATGGTGTTTATAGCGCCACATTCTAGATATTTGAACAACTTTATCCACTTGAGCACGGAAGTGCCAGCTCATCGGTACGAAAATCGAGTGAGGATAGATTGGGGGGGAAAGTTATCAAGCCAATGGTCAGATAATCCAAGCCGGAACAGCTCAGTGACACTGGTTGGCCGGGGCTAATTAGACGGCAAGTCAACACTCGGCCCGAAGTGAAATTAAATAAATATAATCATTAATTTATCTTGCCCCTGCTCACAACCCTCAACTCGGAGTTAAAGTCGGCGGGCTCACCACAAATCATCAAAAGTCATTTAGCAAACATTTGAAGTTGAAAAATAGCCTTCAACTTGCTTCAATGCACTTGAAGAGAATCAACCGCAGAGCAGATGGACGGGGGTAAGGTAAGGTTAGGGAGTATGGCCATATAGCATATACCATATACCCCTACCCGAACCCTAACCATGGGAATAGCAAAGGGAAAGGGGAGCAGGAATGGGAATGGAAGCGGCAACGGCGGCAACTTTTTACGGAAGCGGCTCAGGTATAGAAGAGCCAAACCAAAGAGTCACGTCACGCGTGGGTGCCCCCCACACAGAAAAAGAGACTAAATAAAATAAAAGACACACGGATGGACAGTCAGACAGTTCCAGTTCCAAGTCTCTGGGCGTACTTAGCGCTGTTGAATAATTTCCACAACCACGAAACCCAATTGAAATTAGAGCCCAGTCACAGAGAGCCCAGTTTCAGATACCCAGAGATACTGAGATACTCTCTGCCCTGGCCACATGTCGCTACCACTAACAACCTGCCCCGATCTGGTGTAAGCCAAGTGCATTTTCATTTCCATTTCCACTTCCATTTCCTCGCCTTTTCTCTGCCAACCTTTAGTCAGCCAGCCAGCTACTCATAATGCGGAAGATTGCACCAAGTTCAGTTCGCTCCTTTACTTTCCGTTCCGTTCCGTTCTGTCTCATGTTGTTTATCTAACCGCTCGGATCTTGAGGTTTCTACGTTCTGTACTTTGGATGGCTAGATGGCTGGTTGGCCGGTTGGCTGGTGGGGTTTTAACACAATTTAGCGGCGTCTCAGTCGCTGGACGGATATATATAGGCGGGGTGAGATCAGATCGGATCGGATCAGAGGGCCAGAGTGCTATAACGGCTTTGTCTTCGGTTACCCAGACCCTGTTGCTCGAACATTCAACACCATCAAAGAGCACTGTTCAGTGCAACAAGTGCATCGCCAAAAAAATTTGAGTCTCATTTGCTTTTATTGTAATTACTCAAACTGCCAAGAAAATAGTTGATTACAGAGAGCCAGATACCCAAATAGACAGCCAGGCCTTATCGCACTGAACAAACCATTATCAAATAGATTGCTCAATATCAAAGGTTTGTTGCCATAGTCTTAGCTGTGAAAATCTATAAATAAAATAAACATTATCGGAGCTCGCGCAAGCTTCTTGACAAATCGGAAATTAAGGAGTTATTAAAATGGAATTTAACACTCATAATTGCGGAAACTGAACACAAATGGTTCTGGTAATAACGGAAGGATTCAGTTTAATCTTTATAGTCCCTTATAAAATTTGAAAATATAATTCTTAAAATTGAAAATACATGGAACCTGAATTTAAAATGTGCATACTATACGAAATTTAATATGCTGATCATAAGAAAGCAGCTTCATGATTTTGTAATATTTTTATAATATTTTGATCTTCTTTTTTAGAGTTAAGATCTGCTTTTATAGGAATCTAATATAAGTTGTTTTAGTTCTGGGTTCAGTGATATTGTTTTAAATAAAATGAGTATATAGAAAATAAACTAAAGAACCTGATTTTAGAGAAAGCATTTTATTATTTTTAAGTAATCCAATAACTTTTTGCCATTATACTTTACAGTTAAGATCTCCTTTTGGGGGTTTTTGACAACTAGCAGAGTTGCTTAGTGGGAATTCAATTTAAATTGTTTTCCTTCGGCTTGTTTTCCCAACTCCGTACCATCTAACTAAGACGGCCTCCCCCGTGACGACAAATAGGAATTGGATGTTTGCGCCTGCGCGCATTTTGAAATTGCTTTTAGAAAATTTTCATGTTCTCATGTTTGTTATTGTTGTGGGCTTGGCTCGTTGCCCTTGTTGTTCTTGTTGCCATTGTTTGTGTATATGTGTATGTGGATGTTTGTTGATGATACAATGACGCTGCGCTCGGCAGCTGTTGTCTTTCGTCAGCCAGGTTCCAAAAAGACCGAGTCGGGGGATCCAGGGATTCTGCAGCTTGTCCAACGTTTACTTCCTTCCGAACTAGACAATGGAGGCTCTCTCTCTTTTTGCAGGTTTTCAAATATGTGCTTACCAGCGGTAAGAGAATCTACCTGCCCCAACTGCGAGTTGCGAACTCTGAACTCTGGAAACCGGCGACAGGTGCCGAGCTTTATTTCCGCTTCCGGGCTATTTTGGTTAGGAGGTAATGGATAAGGAAATAAACTATATCAGTCGTTTGGAATATTTTTGCAACCTTATCAGCTGGCTAGTTGCGGTTAGTAGGGTAAGTACCTGTTTGTTTTTTCCTTTACAAACTGGCTACAACGTAGTCGAAGTTGGCCCAGCTCCGTCACAATTGGCCGACTTTGAACCCTTCTTTGCTTCTGGTTTTTCTTACAATTGTCGCACTTGTCACCAAGCCACTGCTGCCCCACCTTGGCCCCCCTCTAATGTTTTCCTCTTTTTATTCTTAACATTTTTTTTTTGTTTTTTGTCAGCTTCTTTTATTGTTATGCGCAGTGCGTAGAACAAGTGGAAGCTTTGTTTGACAACAACAACAGCGAGTGAAACATCAGCGGCTGGGTCGAGTAAAAAAAATATACCTTAAGTTTACACGACTCCCAAGCGCTGGGTGGAATCACCTGCCGCAGTTTGTTGTTTCTGTAGTCGCTGTTGTGGGCTTGACATTTGACAATAAAGCAAATAATCATGGGAAAAAAGCTGAGCCAGCAGAAGAACTACGACTCACCGCCTAAGTCATCAAAAGAAAATATCAAAAGAGCGGGATGGGCGCAGGTTCGGGAATAAAGACAAAACAAATGAAAGCGTTGATTGAAGATCTATTAGATGAAAGCAAAACCAAATTTAGATTGAGGAGTTTTTTCAGGGGCTTATACTGTGATTTATCGATTAGCAATAAAGGTATGTATATTACGAAAAATGTAATAATTAAAATGGCAATTGTAAGACATCCCTTTAATGAGCATAATCTTTTTAAACACCTTCAGTGTAGCAATAGTTCTATATGAGAACACTTTGTTATTTCGACGAGATGGATAGTGTAACAAATTAAAGATATCTTTTGTTTCTTTTCTGGCTCTTTTACTTTATATTACCCTATAAAACTATGTTTTTTTGCTTTTAACAAATATGCATCCATGTTTTAAAGCTACTACCAGGTGCTAATACTAATTTACACCTCTCTTTAGTTAAAATCAATAATATGGAAATTACATGGAATTCATTTATGATCATCGGTAACAGTAACAGCAATTTATTATTTGATTACAAGTAGCCCGAATGACTCATTGAACTATGATTCGTACTCTATGCATACAAGCAATCATAATCAAAAACACTTTTACTGTCGAACATTTAGAGTAGCCTATCAGGAGCAAGACGATTATGAGAAAGATATTAGAAATCGTTGCGATAACCAATTGAAACTGTCTTCTTATTTACACCCAGAAAAAAAAGAACGAAAAAAATCAAGAACATTTTTCATGAAATGCGAACAATCCGTTCTCCATTTTTATTTCTCACATTTCGAACGTTTGTTCACGAAAATCGAACGGTGTTGGTAACAATTTCTACCGACGAACAACTGGGTTCCAAATTGCGAAAAATTCTAATGTTTATATGTATGTATGTACTTCTATTAATAATAAATTCTTTGTCTTCAACAAAATAACCAAAATACATTGAATTCTAGCAATAACAAAACATAAGGTGGGAAATTAAATAAATCTCTACCAGGCGTTCAGAAAGTCTAGCATGTACACAAACCTCGTTTTTTTATATTTTTATGTTCTCAAGTTAACCCCGAAATGTTCTTAAACTGACACCATTCGTTCGGAACCCAACCCTAAAGTTTCGGTCACATTTACGAATTTTGTCCACAAACGGGCTTACGCACTTTTGACAACGTTTGGTCTTGATTTTCGAACGTTTCGAACGTATTTTTTTCTGGGTGTATCATTATCTATTGTATGGGTTACGTTATCGTTAGACTCCTATAAAAAAGCCAAGCCGATCGATTGCAATTTTAGTTCAGTTTGAACCTAAAGTGTAACAACAGTTTTGAAGTTTTACGAAAAGTTTTAATATATTCGTAAAGGTAAGATTTTATCCTGGCAGGAAGATATGAGAGAAGGACTAAGAGTATAAAGAGAGAGGACAGGACTAATAGATTCAGTTCAAGGAAACTGTGTTTAATAGTACAAGCATTTACAACAATATTTAACGTTCAAAATATCCTTCAAATATTTTTGGAATTGTTCCAGAAATTTTAAATAATTTTTAAATGTCAAAAATCGAAAAAAATTCTAGCATTATTTTAGACACCTTAATTAGGGATTTCAAATACCTCGCGAATTTTGGCACCCTCAATAATAAATAACGAAAATCCCTATTGTTAATCGGAAATCGCCCTCAATCAATTAAAATAAAGTAAATAAATGGTTCACTCGTAGTTGTTGAGAGAAAAATGCAGGGTTGAGAAAATGCTTGCGATGCTTTGAGAAAATGTTGGAGAGAAAACTCGGTGTTTGAGCAAAATGAGAGTGCCGAAGACATTCGAACCCGCCCGAACGCAGTCGAACAAATTCCGACCAGTGAGATACGTTTGAGTCGCGAGATACGTTTGAGTCGTATCCATGAGATACGCTGTGAATTTTTCAGCTCTGCTCTGCATCGGTGAGATACGTTCGAGTCGTTTTCGCGGCGTCAAATCGAGCAGACCTGTGTCGCTCCGTAGAGCGAGTTCCCCCAAATAAAAAAAGAATTATACGAAATACCGCCTGTGTTAGGAGCAGAAAAAAGAATAATTTTAAACCAACATACACAATCAGTTAGTTTCCACCGACAGTCCGCAGAAACCATTCGACGGCAACGGAACGGGCGCGCGATTGTCGGCAATCCGAAAGATAGCCAAATATTATTGTTCAGACACACAGAGGGCGTTGATAAAAGATCACCCAGACAACTGAAGATCGAGCCGAGTGTTTTGAAATCAGTGAGATTCTGTGTGAAAAGTCGGTTCAATTAATTCGAAATAAATAAAAGAGTACCCAGCGAATTTCACCAGCTGGAGTAAACGAAGTGACCCACCGAACAAATCGAACCCAACCAATGCAATCAATCGATAGATCGATCGTGTAAAAGGACTTTCGGTTTCGTTAAGAGTGTGCGGCAAAGTGCCGGATTTGTGATTCCCCCGGCAAACGAGGACTTTTTGCGGAATAAATCCAAGAAAACAGCAGTGGCAACAATAACAACATCAGCCGGAGCATCGTCATAGATTTTGGCTCTCCTAAAGCAACAACTTCTGTCTGCACTTGGTATATGTACTTAAATATATATACTTATCTATACGCACAGATATATAAAACAAAAACGATCGATTCTCGTGCCCGCGCGTGTGACTGTGTGCGTTCCCATGTTGCATATATATATGCACAAAAATATATACATATATATATATCTCTAGAGCCGACTGTTGCGACGACTTTTCTATATAATCGGCTAGTGAGCACGCAGACATCGAAAAGGTGCACAACTACAACCAAACAGATGCGGGTATATATGTATATGTATTGCATATATATCTAGCCAAAGCCAAAGTAGAAGATATATATGCGTATAAGCTGAACGCGGCGCACTCTGCTCTGTTTTTTCTTTTATAATTACTTTTGTCTAAAATTAGAAGACGTGTGTGTTGTGTGTGCCCCGTCCGTGTATCCGTATCCGTGAGATACGCGTGAGTGTCCGCGTCTGCTATATCGCACATCATCATCATCATCAACGTACACCATCCTCATCATCATCATCATCGTCATCGTCATCAGAGATCACCAGAGATCTGCGGCGGTGTGTGTGCCAGAAAAGACTACTCGTGAATCAGACTACGGCTGCGACTACGACTACGACTACGGCTACGGCTATATAGGCGAGAGATCGCGTATACGGCCAGACAAACATTATCGTATATCTGGCGGCGAGGATTACAATTACAAGAGCAGCAAAAGCAACAGCAACAGCAAAAGCAGCCGAAGCTAAAGCCGAATACGAATACGAGTACAAACGAGCCCCAATCCGAATCCGAGTACGCATCCGAACCCGAATCGAGACGATACGATACGATACGAAACGATCGCGCGCGTGAAAAACCTCGTGAAGAAAAGCGCTACGAGAAAAGTGGGGGAAAAATCAAACGCCACGCGACCTTAGGCCCGTCCAATTGGGGGGGCGTGCAGCGGGGCGTGGCCGTGCGTCGACTCCTAGCGATCGCTCAAGTGAAACGCGGCGAAATTCTGGGCAGATAACAAAAAATGAGTCACCAAAAAAGCAGCAGCAGCAGCACTAGCAACAGCAACAACAGCAACAGCAACAACATCAAACAACCGAGTGCGGCCAAGTGTTCATAAATTAATGCTAGGAATACAGTGTTGTGTTAGACCAGTCCGAAAGACACTATCCCCCTCTCTCTCACCCTCGAACAGTCCGTCTCTCTCTCGCCCCTGCTGTCGCTCAAAATGCTACGAAACTATCGAAAGTATTTGCAGGATAAACGGAAATACGACAAGCCACAACGACGAGGCAGCGAAGAATACATTTGTCACGTTTAGGCAGATTGCAAGGACACAGGATACACCAACCCCCCAGCAGCAGCAGCAACTTGCAGCAATACGCAGCAGCAGCAACACGCAGCAGCAACACTCGCTATCGAGATTTTGTACATAAAGTCGGGGCAATAGCAACAACAACTTTGGAGGACGCCATGTATGCGCAACATTTGCGCAAATGGAGTCTAAAAACAAAAACGCAACTAATGCCATTGATATTGCTAATTATCAGCTACATGTTGCTACTAAACACATGTGTGTCGGCGACGACACAGCAGCAACAGCAGCAGCAGCAACAACAGCAACAGCCAAGATTATGGGAAGGCAGTGCCGAAGAAAGCAGCTACTATATACCACTGAGTTCGGATAATGGCAGCGGGAGCAGTGAAAGCAGCAGCAGCAGCAGCAACATCGACAACAATATCTTAAGTAGGCTGCTCAGCCTCACCAGCAATAGTCTTAGTAGCCGTAGCAATGTTAAGTTAGAGCCAGCAACAGTATTCGACGCCGGCAGCAGTTCAGCCGCTCAGCAGGAGCAACATGTTGCTGCCGTGCCAGAGCAGCAGCAGCAGCAACAGCAGCAGCAGCAGCAGTCAATGCAAAAAGTTCCAAATACGTTAATCAATAGTCAAATATATAATTTATTATACAATGGCATGCCCAGCGAGGCGGCGAGCAGTAAAATGCGTCGTCACATCCAACCATCACAGCTGCAACATCAGCAACATCAACAGGAGAGTTTAGCCCGATTGCCGAGCAACTACAGCAGTCGGGCGGTACAGAGCTATCTGATAGAGTCCTTCGAAGTGCCAGATAGCCAGGCGGAGGATCGCAGTCAGGAGCAGACGGCGCGAAGTCGGCGCGACGGGAGCAACACCAACGTCAGCCGGCAGCAACATCGCCCCGGCCATCGGCAACAGTTGCAGCAGGACAAGCGCGATCATCGCCGCCAGCGGCAGGATCAAAGGAAGGAGCAGCAACATCAGCACAGGAGCAACAACAACAACCAGCAGAATAAGCAGCGCAGGAAGCACCAGCGGAAGCATTGGGGTCACCAGCGATCCGAACGCTACTGCTCCGCCCGGGATCCCGCCCAGTTGGCCTATGCGGCGCCCACCGTCTTCCAGGGCGTCTTCAAATCGATGTCGGCCGATCGACGGGTCAACTTCTCGGCCACCATGAAGGTGCAGAAGGTGTACAAGCAGCAGCATGACCTCCAGTTGCCCACGCTGGTGCGATTGCAGTTCGCGCTGAGCAACAACAGCGGCGAGTGCGACATCTACAGGGAGCGATTGTTGCCGCGGGGCCTGCTCCGGTCCGGAAACGATCTGCAGCAGGCCTCGGATATATCCTACATGATGTTTGTCCAGCAGACGAACCCGGGCAACTTCACCATCCTCGGCCAGCCCATCAGGGTCACCCACTCGGTGGTGAAATCGGTCAAAATGGCTGTGAGCGAAAATTATGGTGAGTGGATTTCGATTTTAAACTTATAATTGGGGCTTTTGTGGCAACTTTTTATAATATAACCTTTGAAACAAGTTAAAGTATAATTATTGTAGGTTAGGACTGGGTGTTAATAATTATCATTATAAAAGGCAATTTCCATTTGAAAGTTCTCCTTAATAGGAAAATGATTATTATAATAGATAACACTTAAACTGAGCATAAAATATAAAAACTTAAGATACAATTTGCATTCAAGCGAAAGTTTTGTACTCTCCAAATAATGATACAAACGATTACATTAAAATTTTAACTTATTGCTAAATTATAAATCCAGATAAGCTTTTTATGGATTGTTTAATGATGTGAGTCTTAGTTTTTTTATCGATCATTGAACCCACTTCGCTGTTTTAAAATCTCAAAAATATGGCTTTCAGCTCTAAAAGATGATATGAAAATCTCCTTGAATTTGCTCCCTTTCTCTCTCTCACAACCTTTCTTCGGCTTCCTCCCATTACCTTTCTTTCTCTCTCCCTCTCCCTCTCTGTTGCAGCTGCCTCTTTCTCCTCTTCTTGTTGTTGTTTAATGAAATTTAGCTGCTTTTTTGCAGCTGAATTTCTTATTTGCCAACTTCACGCTCTGCTAATATTCACCAGACCGAAATAATTTTATGCAATACACTCACACACACACAACAGCGCACACCTTATGGCACACACACATACAGGCAAACGTTGCGCATGCGCCTGTGCGATTGCAGTTTTATTTTTTTTTTGCAGGTCTAGGCCCTGTTCTTCTTTGGATTCTTCTACTGGATTCTTTTCTTTGTGCCCGACTCAATTTGGTTGCTGGGCAACAAAAATGCTCACATCTAGAATTTATTATTGCTGCTGCTTTTGCTGTTGCTAGTTGCACATTTTAATTAAATTCGCATTAACTTTGCTCGCTGTTCCCGGGGTCTCGACTCCCTTCCTCCCCCAAGAAGTGGGAAAAACTTTGAAAACTCATTTCTGTCTTCCGACTGGGTCTTTTTAGCTCCAATGTGCAACTCACAACGTCATCGTCATCGTGGTTGTTGTTCTTGTTATTGTTGTTGCTGTAGTTGTTTTTGTTGATTTTATTGCTGTTGTTGTCTGCATTCGACCTTTGCGGTTGGCAGACTCAACCCAACCCTACGTTCTTCTCCCACTGCTGTTGTTGTAATTATTCTTGCGTCGCGGTTCATGGAGTTTTGCGTCTGTAATGCGACTAAGTGCGATCACCCGGCCCCGCCCCTCGCCGCCTCCCCCGCCTTTCTTTGCTTTTGCTTTTGCTTTTGCCTTGCTTTTCTCTTCATACCCTCGAAAAGGGTATTTTAATATTGGTCAAAACATTAAAGATATAAATATTCATTTTAGATAATATATTTTCCCTTTTACCAACCAATTTATTTAATAGATGCCTTAATCATTTCAATTTTTCACAATGGGTTGAAGATCTGATTAAAAAGGAGAATAATATATTACTAAAACAGTCTATATGGGTATTATTATATATTTTTGAAAACCTTTTCAAGAGCATATAAACTCCGCCTACCCTACAGCAAAAGGTATAAATATTCATGTTAGATTATATATTTTTCCATTTACCAACCAATTTCAATTTTTCACCATGCCTTGAATACCTGATTAAAAAGGGTTATAATATATTACTGAAGCAGTCTCTATAGATATTATTATATATTTTTGAAAACCTTTTCAAGAGCATATAAACTTCGCCTACCCAAAACTTAACTTCCTTTCTTTTTATTTATTTGTTTTTTTTTTTGCTGCTGTCTTTATTGTCTTCTCCCTCTTGGATTTTGTGCTTTGTTTCATCGCGGGCGCAATTAGATTTTTAATTCATTTTCTCTCTCCACTGGGCTCCTTAGCTGCTGTTTCAGCTTCTGGCTCTTCCGTCATGGCTCTCGCACACACGGAAGGGGGAGAGGAAGAAAACCCCCTGGTATTCCCAAGATCCCCCGAGAAACACATATGCATACATACCATATCAACCAACTCTTCTCAAAATCCCCCCCCTATACGAAATCAGCTGCAATCAGCTGTTCTCTCGCGCTTTGTCTTTTTGGGTTTATTATCTGGTGTTTATTTACTTTCGGCCCTCGCTTCCTTCTCTTTCTCTTCTGGGGCCTCACAGACCTCATCAATGAACATATAGCATTAACAGGATATTTACTTTTTGCCCCGACTGATTTATTTTGACTGCGAACGCAGCAAATGCTTGGGAATCGATTCGCAACCGGGTAGCTCGCCATTCTACAAGTACATATAGATATGTGCATATATATAAAAAAGCGATTACTCATCGAAATGCATACTAATCAATCCACCCACACTGGTGCGGACCGAAATCTGTCAACTCCTTTCACTTTGCCAATTTCTTCGCTGGCCAAAAGCTGGCCAATTTGCATATCGGGCCATAAAGCCTGAAGATCGTCAGCCGGATCGTTAAAATCTCCAGCCCAATCAAAGCCCCGAAATGGAATCAAATCGTGAAGATCAATCAAAATCTGACTCGGATCGGATCGGTTATTTTGCAACCTGAACTACTATTTTGGCGGATGAAAATAGAAGAGAGGTAGAGGGCCAAAAAGGCAGGGATTTTTTATTATTCATACGCCCCGTGTGACGACGCAGCTCGTGCTCTGCCTGAAACCAATTAAAATGCCTTCGAACCTGACTGAATCGGTAGTATCATGAATTAACTGGTCGCATTTTATGCCCAATTTACACCCACGCCGTGAACGTCAGTCAGCCACCAAGTATTCAAGTGTGACTTGAATATGCGAAAAAAAGCAGGGGTAAAAAAAAACAAAGAAGGGGCCATGTGAAAAATAAATAAAAGTCACATCTTTTCTGTATTTAGCTGCGGGGCTACTACGGTTTGTTCTTCAGCTGTGGTTACTATTGTTGTCGAGGTGTTAAGTAAATTAGCTGCTCATAAAACATGATTTGATCTGGCTGAAGTTCGACTCGAGGCAGAATCATCGGCTTAGCTCCCGATGTTTGTTTCTAGTTTCGGTTTGTTTGTTTGTTTGCTCGCCCCGAAAGCGGAGACAAACTGGCAGTGGCTGACACAGTACTAATTATACGACATACTAAAAATATATACATAAATTATTGCCAATGTATTATATAATTATTTGTCACTTGTGCTGCACGCAGCATTGAATATTAATTTATATTCTGCGGTCTCTATTTTGTCACCTTGCCAAAGCACTAATAATCTCGAAAAGATTTTTCATTGAGAAAAGCAATACCCGGTGTTTTGCTGCTCTACGAGTCTACAGTTCCACAATTCTACAGTTGGAATCACCGCAGAGAACCTTGACTGCTGGGATACCATTACTTGGCTCGACATGGATAACCTGCGACTCTGGTTTCGGTTTCTCTTCTGGGTTCTCCACTCCGGTTGCACTTGTTAGAAAATGGGAAATGTGTTGTTTGGCAAGCGATTACAAAACGAAAACAGAAACAGAAACGGAAAAAGCAGAAAGAAAACGCCAGAGCGGAAAATGCTTTTCAGCAGCATAGAGACACAGCGCAGTTCGCATATTTAGGTCAACGCCTACGAGTGGTAGCGACAAACTTACCCAACGGCACCCACAATTCATCATTTCCCAGCTCATCTCATCTCATCTTTTTTGGTGTCTTTGGGGGTGTCTGGCCTACCTGGTCATAAGATTTTCCACGTCGGTGGGTGGGGGCGGGCTGCTCATTTAGCGTCACGCCAGAGAAGAGACAACTTTTCGTTAGTTTCTGTCTGTCTGTGATGGCTCTTGTTGATTTTTCCTCTTTTATTTTTTTATTTTTTATTTTTTGGTAATTAAGTATGAATGGCGGCGCTAGACGACGAACCTTGGTTCATTTGGGTAGTAAGTGCAAAGGGGGTTGACTCAGCTCTCTGTCTCTGACCAGCCCATCCCATCCCAGCCCCGCCCCCTTTTCGGATCCTCAATGTTCAAGTGCACATAAAGAAATATTTTTGCAATTTAGCATTAGCAGTTTAGATCTCAAAAGATTATAAAGCTTTTGAAATCGTATGTTTTTCGAAGTTATAAAAACAAGACAACGTTTTTAGGAAATAATTTCAAAGACTTCAACAATTTTAGTTTTGATAGGTCTAATATTCTTATCCTCCTTTGGCTTCTAGCTTTATAAAATGTAGCTCTTCCAAAATCCAAAGGGAAATGACATTTCCAATACAGTTCTTTATATATTATAAATAATAAATATTTAGTTTTAAAAACCACTTTTAGTCATGATGATACCATTCATTTATTGATAAAAATGTAAAGAATGGAATATGAAAATAGTTTTCCCAGTTACAGACTTTCCCAAGTCTCTCGGTTACTTAGAACATTTTCCAATCATGAGGGCGATTATTGCCCGAGGCTCCTTACTATTTAGGGCCACTTATGGGTATTTTCGCCGAGTGTAGGGGCCCCTTGGGACTTGGCTGGCGGGCCGTTTGGCATGCGGGAAATAGAAAATTATAACGAAATGAAATTTTCAAATGGCATGCCATGTTTCCTTGCCTTGCCTCGCGACTCGACTCGCTTGCCTCGTTTATGAGTTTTATGCTATTTCTGGCCGCGCCGACAGCAGAGCGGCAACATCGGCAGCAGCAACATCACGCAGCTGAAAGCCATTCGAGACTAGGAAGACATCTTGGCCGCCATAGGCTTGCCAAAAAACAAAACGCACCGAGCCACCGAAACAGCCCCCCTGAAAAAGTAAATTCGGAAAATAAACCAACGAGAAAATCCCTCAGCTTGTTAGCCCTGCCTGCAATTTGCATTTCAGTTGCAGCAACGGGATGCTATTTTTTTTTTTTTGGTCCACAGTGGCGCTAATGGAGCAATCTTGGCCAGATAGAAAAACCAAAAAAAAAAAAGAAAGAACGGAACCAGGCGATCAATGGAGCCCCTCTGTTCCGATCCATCCACATCCACTCGAGCACTCGCAGCGGATGTGACATAA